ATATATGTATCATGAAGGTTGCTGAATTAAAAGAAGGATAATAATATAAAAAGTAAATGCTTTGAGAAATTTTTTCAATGATCTAAATGTTATTGTTTGGACAATACAAAAAGTAAATGCTTCTAGAAATGATTTCAATGCAAATGTTGAAATTAATTTATATGCATCAAATTGTGTTACACTTGTTGGTGTATATGACAAAACTACTTTTTCTGAAAATAATCAAAGTATATACAAACCCGAACATGTAACTAGTAAAAGTGATCAAAACCTTCATAACCTTCAAACACAAATATTATGATCTTACATAAAAAGCTTTACAAATCATACAAGAAATAAACATGACAGTACATTCAAAACGATGTAAATGTTAATACGATATTATTAAAAACATTCTCTATTAAGGATAATAGTTTTGAAACATATTGCATATGTAGAATACAAAATGATTTAGTCATAATGCTTCCAGTGGAAAACTATAAAATTTGCATCAAATTACAATGCAAAATAATTTAAAATAAACATAAGATTACTTACATCTCATCCTTTAATGTTTCGTCTCCTTAATCACACATTAAACAAAGAATCACTCGCATTAACATTTATTTAATTTACTAATGTTTTTACAAAATATATCACAAAAACGATAGTTCATATTTTTTCAAAATTAATTAATTAAAATCATTTTTATTAACGAATATTTAATAAACAAAACTGTTAAAAATCAACGTTAATACAAAATAAAGCGCTTGCGCACTTGACGTCAGACATGTTTAATAAATATTTGACTTTCTTGCGAGAACATCGAGCATTTGCTCAACAGGTTTGCCAACAGTATTAAGTTTGCAGAAAATTGGGCGTATTTTTTAAATAGTTTTATTCAGTTTTATTTTGCACATCAGTCTTAATTATTATATTAATGATAAAAGTGGCTTTAGATTTAGAGAACATTTCTTAAGAAGAAAAGATAAACGCCAAGTAGTTCTCAAATGTTTAGATTTTTTGTATAACCTGTGTTGTTAAACATTTGTTCACTTACATGGTTATACAATCGCCGTCATTCGTTGTCAATCGTTTATCTTCGCCATTATTTTTTTTGACAGTAGTCGTATTTTGACAAACGTTTTGTTTTGCTACATAGGTTATTTGTAATCAATTACTTGTTATTTATTTAATTATGACCTAACTGGGCCATGACATGCATTTTCTCATTACGTTAATGAATCAACGTTAATAATAAGATATCGATTACAATCGATTACATATTTATTTTGCATTGTGCCACATCGGTGTTCATAGGCTTAAGATAAGATAATCTCTAAGATTTGATAACATTATAAATATTTTATGTGATATCGCAATTTCTTTATTCAATATATTATTTATTTTACAATGTGTGTGTGGTGATACTTAAATTATTTATTTAAAATGTCTATTATAAAACCGAGTTTAAACGAACTAAGAATTTTAATAAATGCAAGACTTGCCTCTAAAGAACCATGGCAAATTGTAGCTATTACAGCCACATCTGTTATAAGCTTTTTATGGCTTCATGATCTATTAACAGCTGATGAAGGTATTTTATTACAAAATTATATATTACATATATAAGGTAATTTATAACTGATGTTTTAAACTGAATTACTAACTAAAACAATTATACTTATAGGCATTAAGACAAGATTACTCAAATCCCTGTTTAAATGGGCCAAGAAGATTCCTTATGTAAAAAAACGCATTAATGATGAACTTAATAAAATATCTGCACAATTCGATAAGGATATTCAAAAGAGGATGCAAGATGTGCCTTATATTACAACATTACCTGAACAAGGTTTGAGTGATGAAGAAATCGTAAAAATGGCCAAATCTTATTTGAATTTGGGTAAATATATAAACTTGAACACGATATTGTTGGAAAACTTCTATTTAAATTACATATTTATTTAAGGTACGTACAAATGGAAAGAAGGAAGAGTATCAGGAGCTGTTTATTACTATGACCCAGAATTAATTGAACTGAACACAAAAATTTATGGTATGACCTCTTACACAAATCCTCTTCATCCTGATGTTTTTCCTGGGGTTAGTAAAATGGAAGCAGAAGTTGTTAGGATTACAGCAAAACTCTTTCATGGTGGTCCAAATGCTTGTGGAACTGTAAGTGTAATGAAAATTTGGTTGCAATATGTATTAATGAATAATTATATCAAATTTATTAAATTATGTTCAAATTCAGATGACTACAGGTGGAACCGAGTCTATAATTATGGCTTGCAAAGCTTACAGAGACTATGCTAGAGAACGAGGCATTACAAAACCAAATATAGTAATGCCAGTTACTGCCCATTCTGGTTTTGATAAAGCCGCTCAGTATCTTGGGTATCTACTTTGTTTGTCCACAGTAATATAATAGGTAAAAATTTAAGATTATCTATTATATTATTGTTTGTTATTTTAGATTAGGTGTAAGAACTGTAAGAGTTAATCCAGAAACAACACTTGTTGATCTAAAAGCTATGAAACGAGCAATTAATGGAAACACTTGTATGGTAATTGTTTTGTTAATATGTATTTAATATAAATATGCTATTTCAGTTCTGTATCATGTTTATTCTTTGTGTTTGTAGCTGGTAGCATCAGCACCAAACTTTCCTTACGGAACTATGGATGATGTTCAAGGGGTTGCCGAGTTGGGCTTAAAATATAATATACCAGTTCATGTCGATGCTTGCTTAGGAGGCTTTGTTATAGCTTTTATGAGAAAGGCAGGCTTTGAATTACCTCCATTTGACTTTGAAGTTGAAGGTGTAACTAGTATCTCTGCTGATACTCATAAGGTAAATTCATTATAAAGTTGAATTTTCATTGATTTTAGTTTAAGTTTATATTATCCATAATATATTATTTTTTATAGTATGGATTTGCACCAAAAGGTTCTTCAGTGATCTTATATTCAGATAAGAAATACCGTGATCACCAGTTTGTGGTTACAACTGATTGGCCTGGTGGTGTCTACGGTTCTCCCACTGTAAATGGTTCAAGAACTGGTGGAATAATAGCTGCATGTTGGTCTACTTTGTTAAGATTTGGTGAAACTGGATACATTGATGCAACAAAGAAAATTATAGACACAACTAAATATGTAGAGAAGGAGTTAGTAAATTTTTGAATTGCATATTTTCTACTATAACATTTAAAAACTAGGAATTAAAATTTAATTATTAAATGATGTCTTACAGGATTCGTAAGATTGATGAAGTATTCATTTTTGGAAAACCTGCGACAACTGTAGTAGCACTTGGTTCTAAAGTATTTGATATTTATCATTTAGCTGATAAACTTGGTGGTATGGGATGGAGTCTTAATGTCCTGCAATTTCCATCAGGGTAATATTATATTTATATTTTCATAGCACAACTTATATTATATAAATTTATATTTTCCAGGATACATATTTGTATAACTCATGTTCATACTCAAAATGGTGTAGCTGATCAATTTCTAGATGATATGAAATCTTGTATTGCAGAAATTATGAAAAATCCAAGTGCTCCTGTTGAGGGAAAGGTATTGCAATGATTATTTACATGCATTTATGCGTAATTTATTTTATAATGAATTTTTTTTTTAGATGGCAATTTATGGAATGGCTCAAAGTGTGCCTGATCGGTCTACTGTAACTGCTTTCACTAAATGTTATATCAATTCAATGTACTACACTCCGGCAGATAAATAACAAATATTTGAAATATTTATATCAATAGTGTTATCAAATTTGTACAATTTTGAATATTTATATTAATGGTTAAGGTTTTTGAAGTTTACACTACCGATTTTATTCAATTTCATTTGGCTTCTATACAAATATTTTGTATTATTATATTTCCTTACAAGATTGAAGTATTGGATTAGAGTATTTTATAAAAAATTTAGTACATCATGTACAAAATGAGTGTCAGTATTTAAATTCATAATTTCGTAAAGATAAAAGTGCCAATTTCAAGAGATTATAATTTAATTGTATACATACATGACCATATACAAATGTATATGCACATTTATAGGATGGAGATAGAGATTATATATATTTATCTATATATCATTAATTTATTGAAATCTTTTGAAAATTTGTATAAATTGATTCAATTGTAAGGGTTCTAGTCTTGTACATTTGCAAATATATATTATAAAGAAATATTTTATTCTTTAAAAATCCTATTTCAAATCATTTTTATGGTTTATAAATCATATTATTTATACGAACATAATAGACTTTGAGCTTTCGAAGAAAATTCTGTCTGTGCGGAATATTTACCTTTAAAAGTATTAAGCAAATAGCAATATAATTTTTTGTTTAATTTTGAAAGAGAAGTTATTATTAAACGGCTGCAACGATTTCAAGAATATAGAAGGCATTCAATAAGAATTCGAGTTGATTAATTGCGATCGGTTTAGCCAATTTTTTGAATTAGAAGGAGTGAAAAAAAATTATACAACGGTTTCCTCTAAACCGATTTTGTAAATTTAAACAACGTTCAAGAGTATCAGAAGGGAATTGTTCTTTGTTGAAATCGGCCGGGCGCTTCTTTTTAATTGTTGTGTAAAAGAAAATTCCGACGATTTTGATGAAGCCTTTTATGTATTTAGATAGATGGACTCAAGGATCATTATTTATACACTAAGATCTTATTTCCAACAAGATTTAATTACTTAATATTGTTTCTTAATTTTATTTATTTGCAAATAATAAAGACAAATTTAAAATCTTTACAACGAAAAAAATCCTGTGTCATTGCGTCCGTTGTGTATTTAAAGTACAATAGAAAATTCCATAATCATATCGCACTTCAACCGTGGCGATAAATATCGAATAATTACTTTTAAACAATATAAAAAATAAAATAATATATTCATGTTTGCTTTGCAACCTTCACCCAGTAAATCAGCTTCGATTTAGAACTTAAATGTTGAAAAAATAGTCTTAAAATTTGCGCAAAATGCTTAAAACTCGTCGTTGGTTTCGCGTATTTATTTTTCTATGTGTTTGGATTTTTTGTGCTTCTGAAAACAATAACGAGGTTAGTGAAAAAAATATAGATAAGAGGATTTTATATTTTATTTAGTTATAATAAAAAAAATTATCTTGAAAATGATGAATCTATGTATAGTTTTCGTCACAATTAGTTAGAAAATATTACGATACTTTCTTTTCATAAAAATGTTGTCTTCACAATTTTAAAAGTTGCTATAAAATGAAGACTTGAATGAATTGGGTCGATCATCTACACATATCGAAAAGTTCATGCAACTTGCTTTAAGTGCAAATTGCCATTTGCACCTAGTTGCTAACTTTGTCACCATTTTTTTTAATATTTTGAAAGCTTCCAGTTATATGGACTGAGTATGGACCAATTCGTGGAGAGATTTTAAGCTCCGGATTTTTTTCTAAATATTATAGCTTTAAAGGAATACCATATGCAAAACCGCCTATAGGAAATCTACGATTTATGGTAATTGTATGATACATAAATATTCTAAATACATATATTCATATATGTATGTATTCATATTGTTATATATTATTGTATGTATATATCTTTGTTGTTATTATGTTCAGCCGCCACGCGAACCTGATTCCTGGACCGAAGTGAGAGATGCACTTGCACACGGAAATCATTGTCCAGGAAAAACTATAGTTTCCACTGGAATTAATGAAGATGAGGATTGCTTGTTCCTCAACGTCTACACGCCTTCTGTAAGAATTAATTTTACTTTGTATTTATAATATTATACAAAGATTATTTATTATTATTATTTCAGCTTCCTGGAAATTCCAATTCCTTCAAGCCGGTGATGTTTTTCATTCATGGTGGTGCCTTTGTTGGAGGCTCTGGAGACTCATTCTATTATGGACCTGATTATTTTGTGAACGAAAATGTGGTTTTAGTTACTATTAATTATCGTTTAGGAGCTCTGGGTAAGTGGTAAAAGTAATCGTGTCAATTAAATATCAATTTTTGAATTAAATATTGAATTGATGGATATTATTATTTTTGAATTGAAGGGTTTTTAAGCACTGGCGATTCTGCTGCAGCAGGAAATATTGGCTTGAAAGATCAAATTGCTGCACTAAAATGGGTGAAGGCAAATATAGCTAGGTTTGGAGGTGATCCAGATAATGTGACAATCTTTGGAGAAAGTGCAGGCGCTGTATCAGTTCATTACTTAATACTATCTCCTCTGGCTAAAGGTTAAAGATCAAAGATGCAATATATAACTTAAAAATGGTTTTATATCTTTCCTTTATAATAAACTGGATCCATAAATAAAGGCCGTAAACGTGACACTAATTTCAAATTATAACATTTTTTTTATAGGATATTTTCACAAAGCAATATCTCAAAGTGGATCCTCATTAAATCCTTGGGCTTTTCAGCCAGATCCTCGCAAATCAGCTTTTGAACTAGGCAGAAAGTTAGGCATTACAACAACAAATTCAAAAGAACTAGTTCTGGCGCTGCAGAATATTCCAGTTTTTGATATTATGAGAGTTCAACCTGGAACTTTATCCACCGTCTGTATTAAATCATTTTATATAAAAATCAATTTCATATATTAAAATATATTTGCATTCCAGAGCATCCCAAGAGGGCTTGTTCCACAGCCATTTGTACCTTCAGTTGACGCGTTTGCGAATAATTCTGAAATAGTGCTTCCAAAAACGCCTATAGAAATTATAAAAAGTGGTGTGTACAACAAGGTGCCTTATATTTGCGGTTTTAACAGTCATGAGGCTTTTATAATGCTTCCAGGTAAACTATTTATAAAAATAATGTTGTATCTCTCTAACACATAGGTTCCCAAATTTGTTTGTGCCGTGGACTCCTTGCAATGTGTTTTGTTTTGTTATGGACCCCCTATATTAAAGTGACCTCACCTACCAGTTTCGCCGGAACACTCACGGATTTCCATCTGGCGATCCGGGTTTTTATAAAATCAATTTTCGGCCCGGATTGTGCCGCGTTCTCAAAAAGTATAGGTTTAAATCGAATCTTCGCAATGCTTGATACTAAAATTACAACTACCCGTCAAATATCTGGAAACGAAATATTTCACATCACTCAATAAACATGTAGGATAACTAAGAAAAACCAATTTTTTGCCAAATTTCTTTTTGTTTTATGCAATATAGTTTCTTCGAAATTATAGCGAACTTTAAACTTTTCGAAACCATTTTTTAGTACGATTTGTACTTTGCCACAAAATTCAGCTATCATCTCATCATTTGGTAAAAGTTTCTTCACAGCAAGCAAACTTTTGAGATCTGAAATCGGTATATGGTCGCTGGGAAACAGATCTAGAAAATATGGTAAAAGGGGAAGCAATTTGGAGGCCAACTCATATTTTTCTTCTTTTTAATTTACGTGACCAATATTTCAAGTTGGATCATTCAATATTTCTGAGGAAAGGGATGTTGATGGGTGGCTCGCTCCGCTCTCAATACTAGTATTGAAACAGATTGTACGTTTTCAAAAACACATAATTCGATTTTGATGAAACTTGACATACATTGTTACTATACTTTACTAAGATTGTGATTAAAATTTCAAGTTGGATCATTCAATAGTTTCTGAGATATGGGATGTTGATGAATGGCTCGCTCCGCCCTCAATACTATAGTATTGAAACAGATTGTACGTTTTCAAAAATAAATAATTCGATTCAGATGAAACTTGACACACATTGTTACTATACTTTACCATGATTTTGACCAAAATTTAAAGTTGTATCATTCAATAGTTTCTGAGATATGCGTGGTTGATAGGTGGCTGATGGCTCCGCGCTCAATACTAACATTTAAAGTTTAAATCATTTCTAAATATGCCGTGGACCACCATTTTTATTTCGAAGACCCCCAAATTTTGTTTTCCCTGCAGTGGGCCTCTTGAAAGTTGCCCTGGACCTCTCGGGGTCCTTGTGGACCACTTTGGGAATCACTGCTCTAACAGAACAGATTGTAGCAAGAAGTTTCCAATAAGAAAATTTTGAAGGCATTAGGATTGAAATTTTATTAAGTCTAAATTATTAGACTTATAGGCATATCTTATAAGTAAAATCTATCATAGACAGTTGAAAAATTAAACATTTATAAGTATTTAAACTTTTTATTTACAATTTAGAACTCCAATTGGATTCTTTGGTATTTCCTACGCTCAACCAAAATAGAGAGTTGCTCATTCCATTCTCTTGGAACTTACCAAAAGAAAGCAAAGTTTCTAAGTTGATTGCAAAAGAAATTTGGAATTTTTATTTTCAAGGAAAATCTTTATCCAAATCAAAAGACATGAGCCTCCGATGGGTAGATGTGAGTTATTGAAGATTTAAAATATTATGATCATTAGTAAATCACTAACAATTTCTACAGTTGCTTTTATATTTAGTTTATGACTGACCAAATGTTTGTTGTTGGCATTGATAATACAGTAAAGTTGCAATCTGAAACATCATCAACACCGATATATTATTATAAATTCAGTTTTGATGGTGATCTTAATCTTGCAAAAGCGTTGCTTTTTATAAAGTATAAAGGTATAGTGATTTATTTAGCTCTACTTAATACAATTGTATTTTAACATTTGCATTTATTTTAGTGTATTTTTTTCTCAGGTGCATGTCATACAGATGAATTATTCTATTTATTTAAAGTCGCCGGTTTGCCATTGCCTTTGTTACCAATTAACCCTGCTGCAATAACTTTACGAAGAATGGTTCGAATGTGGACTAATTTTAGCAAATCTGGGTATGTATAAATTAAATTATATTAGATCATAGTCTTATGAAAATAATCAAAAAGATTTTTATATATAAACAATTTAATTTTCAGCAAACCTACCCCTTATCGAGAAACACTTTTAAACAATGTTATTTGGCCTAGAATAACAAAGACAATAAACTATCTTGATATTGATGAAAATTTTGTACTTGGTGTAAATCCTTATAGTGATCGTATGACATTTTGGAATAATTTAAAGAAATTATATAACTCATGATATGTAAATTAAACAAATTATTATTAACAATGACAAATTACAAAAGATGATCGTAATATGAATTCATATAATACTCTTCTTTTATTTATGTGTGGATAATAATCATTTTATAATTTCTTTCTATCGAGATATATATGATCAGATAGCTTAAAATATATTAATTATATGGAAAATTAATATATAACTTATATACTTAATTAGTATATATTGACTACATCATTAGATGTGTCCTAGCTGCCATAGTTTGTATGGTGATTGCAAATATAAATTTATACATTATTAGATATTTAGATATGCATTTTGTATCCAAATTTTTCCCCAAGTTTGAAAGCTCATTCAAATATCCCGCCATATTCGCAAAAAGTGCGACACGCAGCGCCTCTATGCAAAATCGTTCCCAGTTTGTCGGGAACTACGTAGTGACTACCGGGTTCATATGGTTCTGTGTTAGATGTCGCCACCGATGTAAAACGTTTGACAGTTCTTCAACGACAAGGGAGTATATACAAATTTTTGTATATATGTATATACAAACGGTATATATATATATATGATCCATAGTTTTGAGAAGTCATATGCAAAATATTTTATATGTTATAAATATTGTTATTACTTTAGAACTCACTTTGATCGAAATCCTCTCCTCGAGGCTGGAAAAACTTGGACATCATCACTTGATCACTTATACTATACACTTTTATATGATACATTAAACAATTGTTCAAATAATCGCTTTATCACTATTGTACTTATACTGTACACCTGTACACATTTATATAAAACATTAAATAATTATTCAAATAAGTTGACTTTGCTTAGCACACAAGACATTTCATTTAGCACGATTCCTTGCACGTGCGAGGAATTACCAAAGGCGCGAATTTCAAATAAAAAATATAATGGAATATGATCTCTTGAGGTATTCCTATATAGTTATAAGAATACACCTAGTTTCTCATTATAATTTCTAAATATGTTTTGTCAATTATAACAATTTCTAATTGTTAAATAAATAAATATATAAATATATATGATGGATATTTACTAAAATCAGTCATTCTGCTTCATAAATATATAAAAAGATATCATTTCACTAAATTCCATATCATTGAATTTCACAAATGTTTTCTATAAATAGTAAAAATAATATTTAGATGTATTTTGAAAGTATTAACAATTTGTAATTATTATTTTGCCTCCAACCTTAGAATTACTTGACTTTGCATTATAATTCATTGACATTGAAAGTCTTATATTTATATTTTGTACAGTCATTACTCATTAAATAAAAATATATATTGAAAAATACATTTGATGAAAACTTGAAACAATTTTTAGCTAGATAAATTAAATGTCTATTACTAATTAAAAATTTTATGCACTTTGTGCAATTACATATCTTATTCTCATAGTTTATTCTTTAGTTCATATTTAAACAATACAAAATTTGCTTAACATATTAATGAATTGCTTGGATTTTAGGAAAAAGAACAAAAAAATATGTTTATAATTTATTAAAAATAAATTAAATATAGTTCAAATAATATATTAAAGAGAACTAATTCAAAAATAGCAATATGGATAGCAAACATTTATTACATCAACTATACATTAGAATTACTTTTATAATTTAAATATATTACCATGGCATAGTGTTTTCATCAAAATATGTGTTAAACTTCTTCCATTTATAACGACGCTTTGGATCTTTCTTGCTATTAGATGGTCCAATATTTAACATTAGACCTAAAGTACAGAATCCACATAATTAAATATAGAAAATAAATAATTACTGTTAATTAACTATTGCAAATTCTAATGTAATAGTATAAGCACCTGCTTTTTGAGCCATGGCAACCATTGTTGTAACTCGTCTTTGTTGTCTTTTACATAAACCTGTAATTCTTCTTGGCAACATACATCCATCACTTCGAAGAAATTGACTCAATATTAGAACATCAGTATGTTTTACATCTAAACCAGTAGCACATAAAGGGCAAACATGCTTATCCTTTGGAATTTGTGAGGGCTGGTAAAGCAAAGGCTCACGTGGTGATGGTAATATGACACCTTCAATAACTAATTCTTTGTCAGACTTGGTCTCCTTTACTAAAATGGTAATTGAATTAGAGCAGGTTAACTTGATAAATAAATATCAGGAAATGCTTCTTATATTATATATTATTGTAAAGATATTAGAGTATTTTATAAAAATAAGGCTAATGTTTAAAAACTTATAAATATCAACTTACTTTCTTTCAGGTATGTGGTTGGAGTGGTGTGTAATTTGTTTATGAAAAACGGTCTTGTTAACTCTCGAATAGAAATACGTTTTAAAAAATTCATATCAGATTTTGTATATTTAAAACCACAATACAATATATACTCTTCCAAGCAATAAACTTCTGAAATGAACTGAATTTCAATCTTCAATTGACAGAACTAATTGACCAATTCTAGGTTAAGTTAACCTTATTTAAAAAGTAATCCACTGTGAATTAAAAACGCAAGCAAATGAATGATGATAATGTCTCGAAAATGGAGAAAAACCAGAAAAAGGAATTGATACCTCCTGAAAGCTTACTTGCTGTTCAAAATATTGAAAAGTTATTGAAAACTTTAACCACAAAACAAAAATTAATATTATCCCAATTGCAAGAAGAAAATTCTAAAACAGCAGCAGAAGGCTACAGTAAAGAAATTGACAAATTAATGGCAATTATAGAAAAAGAAAAGAATAAACTAGAAAATATAAAAAAGAAAATGAATACTCTGCACAAAAGATCAACAACTCTAAGAGACGAAGCAGTTAAAATACAATTATATCAAGAGCAAATGCTCGAAAAGGAAGAAGAAAACAGAAGAAAGGAAATGGCTATGATAGGAAGACCAAATAATACCTCATAATAAAATATGTTTTATAACTATGAACATAAACTATAAAATGGATTTGAAGGACAATTTAGTTATATCAAATAGTATTCATAAAAACAGGTTGCATTTATCAGATCAACATATTATATAAAAATAATGATAGTATTAATATAACTTCAACATGAGAAACTTATATACAAATTAGATTGAAATATTTTTGTAAATTGTATAAATAAATTATAAACTACACCAGTTACTTATTTAGGTCGGCCTCGACCTCTACCACTTGCATTGGGTTTAGCCTTTTTATTTTTATTAGTTTTAGGATCTTCAGCTTTACGCTTAGGAGTTGTCCCAAGAACCTATAAATATAATAAAAATTAACAAACTAGATTTTTGACAAAACAGAAGAAGGAACATTATTTACTTTGAAAAAGCCATCTAGTCTTCCTTGTACATTACCACTACGAGATTTCATAATTTTTTTGATACCCGAACGCACTCTATCTTCACTAAATTGTCTGTCACCACAGAGAAAAGCTACAACACCTTCTTCATCTGGTTCAGTCCACTTTAACTTAATATGAAAATATACTTGTTAATTGCAAAAATTGTAATTAATAGAAAGAACTTATGGCTAATAAAATATTCAACTTAACATTTGAAAATCTTTTTGACAATTATTTTAAGCTGAATATTTTTCAATTATTGATACATACTTCAATTGTGTCCGGATCAGTAACTTCAGGTTTCACAAATAATTCCCTTGCTTTTTCATAATTCCAATTTTCAGGTGGAGGGTATTTAGTTGTATCAATTTTTTTCAAAATGGTATCAAGATTTCGATATTGATTTATGTATTCAATAGCTCTTTTAGGACCAACACCTTTAATACTATCGCAATAATCACAGCCAAGTAAGATACATAAATCAATAAACTAAAATATTAAATCGATTGAAAAATTATATAGGCAAAAATAGAGTGTATCAAGGAAAATAAATATAGTTTATTTCTTTACCTCCTCATGTTTCAATGACAGCCCATCCAAAACTTTATCAAAGTGGAATTCTTGTACAGGCATTTTCCTAGCTTCACTAAATGTTAAATGTCTTAACAAAACATTAGAACCAAAAGTTAATGCGTCCATATCTTCAGTTGCAGTTGCATAAACTTTACCAGCCCTGACCTTAATTATAATAATTATTTAGTTTGTGAAATTTATAAATTTTAGCTTATATGTTACATCTTTTTTGCTAATTAAATTGTATGCTGGTAGGATAAAGCACATTCATTAATTAAATATTTGCTACATAAAGATCTGCACCAATGTCTTTAGATAGAAAAGATTGCATAAATAAAATAAATATTGATTTTTACCAAAGCAGCACATTGAGCTTCAGCTTCACAAGGAGCCTCTACATAAGGTACTCCCATTAATTTCAGTAGTTCCTTTGCCTCTGCAGCATGCTCTTTAGTTACTTTTACCAATCTTCTACTAAATTTTTCAACATCGGCTGCCTCACCTTAGATAAGAATAATAAAAGTCAGAAATATTCATTCAATAAATGATAATCATAATATTAAAAATCCTGTAATAGTGGAAGAACTTTATACCTGCTTCAGTAGCTTTTGCTAATGCTATTTCTGCCTCTTCCCTGCGTTCAGCTCTTTTAGTTAACTCACCACCTTTCATATCTGGAGGTTTTCCATCAAAAACATACACTGGTTTTATACCATTTTCAAGTAAACGTATAGTTCTATAGAATGTGCCCATCAAGTGAGACGTTGTCTCACCATCTACAGAAGTTAATTGTGCTCCTATAATGATAAAAATAAGATTACAAAATGAATATGTATGAACACATTTTATTGCTTGATTTATTGTTCATTATAAATTAGGATGCAACAAAATTGTTAGAGTCTATTACCTTCACTTCTGACTGCTATTAAAAACTGATATAAGCACATAGAAGCATCAATAGCCACCTTTCGACCTAAAAAATATACGTAATAAAATAAAATACAGTAATTATTTAAATAGCAATTCATTATTATAAAGTCTACTAACCGAAATAATTTTTTAATTCACTTTCTTTAACAGCTTGAGGTGCTAAATCCAAAATTAATTTTGATAAACCTAGAATTCCCATGATGATTTGTTTACCAAACAACAAACAGATTAAATTATATTATATAATAAATTAATTCAATAACAAATTTTGAAACATATAACAAATTTCTTTTTTTATTCTGTTGAACTGTCTACTGTCTTCAACATACAATGTTTTATTTAAGAACCGCCATTATTGAAAATTGGCGGCAAATTGTACCAATAAAAACAACTAACTGTCATGAAACAAAATTAGGGGGAGAGCTAGTTACCAGATTTCTCAAAAATTATATTTGCATATAAATAAATAAATATGTGCTGATGATTTCTGTCCCTAGACAATATTAGAATACCCCGTGATTTAACTATTATGTTTTAAATGACAATTACTACAATATGATAACGTTAAACGATTAACAGTGCAACGTAGTTCAAGGCATTATATTATATTTTTTAAGAATGATGCATATGGATATAACAGTAAATAGAAGTGTAAAGACAATTGATTAAAATCAATCCTAATGAAAAATTCAAATAAAAAATAAATTGCACAACACTTTGTAGTTTGTACAATACTTCACCACCCCTAGACAATATTAGATTAATATGATATATTCATATTAATGTCACCAACTCTCACACTATTTGTTTTATAAACATCTTTGTGACATCCTATAAAAATTTACTTTCTCGAATCAAATTTAAAATGCTTGCAATGATATATAGTAAATAGTAAATTTAATACATCTATAATTTAGTACAGATCTTGATCAAATCATAAACTTAATAATGGGTGGTTGTCGATGCAGTTATGGAAAATGTACAAATTCATCTTATAATTCTCCCAATACTCATTTTTTTCATTACCCTGTAAAAGATAGAAAACGTTGTGCAGAATGGGTTAGACGTGCAAATGATCATAATCTTTGCAAGTTGCCTGAAGCTAAACTGAAAAATAAAGTTATATGTGATAAACATTTTAACATTAAATCTTTTATGAATTATCGACGGGATAAATTATTATTCAATGCTGTTCCTGAAAGCGAAAACAATGTAATTGATACAAATATCAATTTATTGCCAAGTCCAGTAAAAAACAGCAGCTCTGATTTTACGCTTCCAGAAGATACCAGAATAGATGATACAACAAAATTTATTGTTACCGATAGGGGAAGTTCTGGACTTGTTTTTACTGAAAGCGAAAATAAAACGGAATCTCCAAATAAAGAATTGATTTCCCCAATACCAGATGTAGTAACAACTATAGGCGAATCAACTAATAAAATAATACAAAAATCATCCCTAAATTCAATTAGCAATAGAAATGAATTATGTAAAAGTTTTAATAAATCTGCAGAGACAGTAATAAACACATTAACCATAAATAAGCAATATACAGCATCAAAAATTTTGGATGATAAATATATTGATAAAGCAGTAGATGGAACAAAAGATGTAAATAGTTCAAGGAATAAAATTTTAATCCTGGAACAAGATGTTATTTCAAACCATGAATCATCGGATATCATTCAGATAGTGGATTTATCAAATGATGAACTAGAATCTGTAGATAGTAAATGCCTCAAACAAAGTTCAAGAAAGCTCCCTTCTCGTTAGTATATACAATTATTTAATGATAGAAAACTTGCAAATATTTAATACTTATATATATTTGAATTGTTTTCAGAAAACATTTTTTCTTTTATCACCAGAGATCTGGAAACTTCACAAAATGATTGTCAAGGTAATTATTTTAATACTAGCAATCTTAGTAATTTATTTGATTTCGTTATTTTAGTGGATGATATTTTCAGCACCTAAAATTATTGAAAATCATTTAAAAGTAGAATTCAATTGTTCAGATGATAATGTCAGGAGTTATGCTAATGATCTAAATGATGAACAAAAAGCACCAAGTTTTTCAAATACTGTTAGTCTTAAGTCAGAAAAATCCAACAAATTGGATTTGTTAAAGATAAAGAATAATTCAATGAAACCAAGTACACCAATTGGACACATATCAAATATGAAAAAGAAATTAGGTTTATCAAATCATATGACAAAAGAACAATTGTTAATAGGTGAGAATTATAATAAGAATGTACTAAATAAATTTAGAAGTTACTTTAATGATTATATCTTTTTTTATATAATTTTCAACATTTAAATCTCTCAATACAGGTATCAAAAAATATGTAAGTCCGAGTATGGCTGTATTATTGCAAATGGAATTATTTGGTACATTGGACAGAGACTGGAAACAAGATGAAAAACAGCTTAGTATTGAATTGCATAATTTTGGCGAGGATGTTTATGCTTACATGACCGATGAATTAAGATGGAGATTACCCTCACCCTCTTTAGTTAATAAATGGAAAATGGAAGAAAGTGGTAATGACATGGAATTAGCATTAAATTAATAGTGTAAACTTGTGATAATTTTATAATGTTTAATGCTTGTTCAATGAAGATTTGGAGTGAGAGTACATTTCGGTTTAGACTTGGATGATGAAATAGATTATCTTATGGTGTTATTGCTCATGCAAATATTCATTATATCTTATTTTTTTACTACTCGTTTTAATAAAATGTGATTTTGTATTTAAATTCAGGCTTTTAATATTCTTATAGGCACATTATTATCTAAATTATTCAATGACTTATATACAAACAAAATTAAAATTTATATAACAATTTCAAATATAACAAAAAGATAATCTGAATATAAATTGCATGTTACTGCAAAAACAAAAATCTGCATGTTATGTACATATTAAATATTCACCAATAACAAGATTGTTTAATTGGTCCCTATGATAATAATAAAAATTAAATAATAGCGAGTAACATAATTATTTAACTGCAAAGGAACAAGCAAGTATATCTTTGCATACTTATGGTTGGAGTATATATAAACAAGTTTATAACTTTGCATGAAAACAATAGTTCGGGTAATTCATAAATATATCACAATAATTCAATACTACTTAAATTGTATGCTGGTTATGACAGTGCACATACTTTTTTTAATTCAAGATCCGCTTCATCAAGATCTGCATCAATGTCTTTAGATAGTGTGCAATTATTTATCTCAGGAAAATATGGCGTATAATTCAAGCCTTTTCTTTCATAAAATAACATATAAGCTGAGCCCGTATCAAGGGCAGGTATGCTTCCATTTGAATCCTTTGGTACTTCTCTGCAAGAACTATCATTATAGCAGTACCAAGTTCCATTTGGATTTGATGCATACGAAACATAATGACCACCATTCAGCATTCCAGAGTGACTCTGAATATGTGATTAAATTCAAATTAATGAAAACGATCAATATATTATTTATTGTTATGTTAACTATGTTTCATATAGCATACCACAACTGCATATAACTGATATTTGAGATCAAATTCATCTACATCAGGCTGCAAATGGTGCTGATGAAAATCCACAAAATCACCATCCACCACAGGAGTTTTTGTTAAACTACTTGAGACTAAACGTTCTCTTGTCTTCATACTAATTGATTTTCTCCCAGGCCTTCTATCTTTCTTAATGTCAGCACTAGAAATCATAAGTAATTGAAAATTTTGCCTTAAGGCAAGTTGCATGAACTTCTCAATTCGTACACATAATGAACTTAATAAATAAGAATTGAGATTCAGCTATTTAGGTAAAATGTTCTGTTACTGATTTCGTATTCACCGAAGAAAATTCTATGCGATTTCCAATTTATGACTTTTAAACATACATACTTATAATACGGAAAGAACAAATGCTCCGGCATAGATTCTGATTAGAATCGTTTTAGCGCACGACGATATTCTAAACTTCGATGAATTTTCATAACTCAAGCGCTTATCGTAGGCCTATAATATTTTAGTATGTTATTTCAGAATACGAAATATACCGTTATACAAAATTTCAACAAAATCGTCTAAAAAATTTAATATTTAATTACAATTCCTAAACAACCAAGATATTTCGTATAAAATCCATTCAAGATTGTGGGGTAAAACGTAAGCGAAAAATTTTACACTTTTCTGCTAATTACAAAGAAACGGTTTGGCCGATCGTCGCACAGAACTGACAAATATGCTAATCCATCTAGCTACATCGAATATAAAATAAATCACCAAGAAATCAAAATTAGAAAATTGAATTTTTTCGCGAAAAGAAACTTCTCCTTCAGAAGTTATATATATCACATTTAAAAATGTTTTATATTATGATGAGCACATATTCAAAAAAATATATTCATATTCTAATTAGAAAGAAGTTATATTTTAGCTAAACTTTATAAAATATATATTATTTATTATCTTACTTGGCAATTGCAGCAGATTTCGAACTGTTATTGTTATCATTATTAGTTGAAACTTCATCAATATTTTCAGAAACATCATTCATTGCAATATAATCTTGATTATCTTCTTCGATAATATCATATTTCTCTTTCAACTCTTTTTGTCTAAGAATAGTTTCTTGGGGTACTGAAGCTAGATAAGCTGTTGGATCAAAATCGCTTACAGGAAAACTAACAACTTTTTGTGATTTTACCCATTTGTTGTTCAAGTAATTAAATCGTTTCAAATGAATAATCTGAAAGTAAATAATTAACATTTTAATTCAATATATATAAAATAGTAATAAACAAGCTTAAATAATTACTAGAACAGGTGGTAATCTCCAGATTTGTAATTTTTTAGTTGCTGGTTGCAAGCATTGACATTTTGAACAGTGATATTTTTCTTCAAGTTTCTCTTCCGATGTGAAAGCTTTTAAGCAATGATCCAAATCAATTGGTTCAATTTGCTTTCTTTGACAAATTGCTACACTTTCATGATCCTTCCACACCTATAACATAAACAAGATTTATGACTAGTTGGTATGCTTAAATTTGATACTCTATATTTTTGATTACCTTCTCCCTTGTAGTTTGATATCTTAAATGCAAAGCAGTAGGATCCCAGTCGATAGAAATATGTAGCATGTCATCTTCATTTAAAAACTTTGCATCTCCTTTGCAATCACTATTTTCGACCAAATTTGCTGTTGATCCATTGCAATTCAAAGAATTTGTTTGTTTTAAACTGGGAATTTCATCACTGTTTTTAAGTTTATCTTTAACAGAAGAAAAATCATTATGCAATTCTAAATAATCATTAACCCCATTTTGGGAATTAAAGCTTTGAAGAAGGCCATGTAATAATGGTTCATCAGTGCATCGAATTTCGCAACCTCGACAAAATCTATACCAGGGGCAGATAGCACATACTCTACCACCAGGCGCCACAACACTGAGAATAAATGGATACTCATAGCCAAGACTGTCGTCACTGTAATAGGATTATTTCCAAATTGAATTTAAGCTTATAATTAGATAGCAAATAATATTAAGTTTAAAATTCATAAACTTACCAGTCCATGGCATGATTAGCTTGATCAGGAGGAGTGGGAGGTAGAGGGCTCAATAATCTTGAAACTTGGGCCCAAACTGCACAATACAACTCTTTGTTAGTAAGGCTCATTGAAAATGGAATCAATAAAGGCACTCCAAAAAGGCTTGTTCTTGACTTTTGATGAGATAAGAAATATGTATCTTGACGAATACCTTTTCTGTGCAGGGCGACAATATATGAAGGCCTATAAAAACATAATATAATTAATCTGAATTGAAATTGAAATAACTTGGATAACTATATATGTGCACATTTAAATAAGATTTTAATTGTATCAAAATAGTACTCAAACGAAATAGTTCTTGTAGCATATACTATATAAATTTTATAAAATTATCTTGTACCTTTTATATTCTCGTTTCTCTTCACTTTTCAAACAATTAGAATGCACACTCTTCAAATCCTCAGTATGACAATTACCGAGAGTGTTTATAGTGCCATTAGTATCTAGCTCAGAAGCATGCATTGTATTTAATAAAGAATTCTCACTCATTTTTTTAAAATCATAGCTTTGCTGAAATAGTAAAATATTATTATATGTAATAACTAACTAGTTATCAAACAATATTTTAGGAACTGCAATCAGCATGAAAGCAAGTATATTTAATCACAGTTGGTATGAATATTTATAAAATCTATTTCTATATTGATTACTTACATTTTTCAGAAATATATTTGATGATTAATACTTTTAATACGGTTTATAAAACATCAATTTTCAATTTATCATGAACATTGTTGAATATATCTTTCTACATATTAATATTATAAATAAAATATTACATATTTCTTGTTTAACACAAAGTACGATTTTAATTATCTACATCTAACTTAAACCAAATTTTAGTTTTTTCTAAATTAGCCAATTCAACCAGCAACAAAAAATAAGCTATTAAAAAAATACTAACTGTATACTCAAAATCATTAAAGCTATTATATGAATTAACACATTTATCAATTTGTCAAGACTAGAATACTTTTTAACATCAATAATAATTAACTTGATCATTATTTTTGACATGAACATTTATTGATTACCATAAATTTTTAATATACTTATCGAATATTTAGCAAAATCTTTTAGAAATAGAAAAATACCACCATTTAATTTAAATTGCGATTTAAACAAAGATTCATGATAATTTAGAGATTTACTATAAAAAAGTCTAAAATATATTGACTGCAAAATCATTAGAAAAAAATAATTGTTTGAATTTGTAATTAAACAATTTCTAGTAAAACATTTAAAGTAATTTTTCTTAACTTTCATTATTGTTGAAGATAAACTTTTATTAATTCAATACCCAAAGTCTCCTTTAATATATTATTCAAAAATTAATAAAAAAGCAAAAAAAGTAATTAAGTGGATTTTGTTAACTTTTATTCATTGAAGTATTCCAAATGACTCAATTAATATTTGGTTGGAAAATTAATATATAAGCATAATATCTCTCTACAAATAATATAAAGCTAAAATTGTATACAAAAAAAATCATAAAAAGATAAAAATGTTAGTAAAGTGCCTTAATGTATGAGTGCATACCTTAAAACAAAATAAGGTGGTCGGCATGCAGAGAGCAGTACTGCAGCTTACCTTGGATACCCTTTTAGCATCTAAACCACATGAATTCGTGTCTGAAGGATCAATCATAGTTGCTGATGATGATATAGATGACGATTTTGTATCACTTTGGACAGATGATATATCTGGAAGTTGATAACATTGGTAAATAGATTTGTAAAGAAAATCATTCCATATTAAACAGATAAAGCATAGTGAAAAAATGAAAACGTAGAGTATTATATCAATAAAATAAACTTTAATATTAATCCCTTGTAACAATATAAATTTACCTGCATCTCGTTGTATATCAGCAAATGTTTGATACTGTTTCCTTGTTTCCGTAAACTGATCATCATCTGATTCTGGTAACTCATATGCCACCAACTCTAAGGCTGAATTCTGTTTTATTTTAGCATCATCAACCATCACATGTTTAATTTGTGAATCTGCTAATTCTGTTATCAAAAGACACGATGGTTTGATGCCACAGAGTTTTGAAAGGTTTTCTTTCAAATCTGTGTACTTAGACTCAGAATTCAACCGCAGGCCATATTTAATAGGAACACTTCCATTCAATAAAATTACTGAAAAATACAGTTGTTAATGTATAAATATCCAATCAAATTATAAAATAATATATGATCTTTACCTAATACTTGACAATGCACAAAGCTTTCTAAAGGAAGAGGTAAACTTAGCAAAGAAAATGGATCAAATCTTACAGATTCATGACCGCAGCATTGACACATCACCTAAAATAAAAATTATATGATTCAATCAAATTTTGTAAAATTTCTTATCAGTCCTTAGTAATAACATAATCATAAAAATAACTCATTTGATAATAATGTCAAAACGATAATTTGTATATATATATAAATATATATATATATATATATATATATATATAAATTAAGATACCTTAGATTTAAGTTGACCATAAAATAAATCTACTATAATGCTTCGGTTTCGTTCCAGATGATGAGACCAAGCTTCAGCAGCTACCTCACAGTCAGCTCGTCCATCAGAATCTTTCAACTCTCTATACGGTTTATCAGTAACGCGATTTAAGTCTTCATGAAGCGCATCTAGCAGCCATTCTAATAATTCCTAATAACGATAAAGTCGATTTTAATACATATTAAGCAATTGTATATGATTTACTAAAAAAAGTAACTTCAACATAAATGAACATTTCATATAAAATGCAAATTTTCTTCAAACAATAATATTCAACAAAGTTTTATCATTAAATACCTGAGAATCGTGTTGCCCTCCACCTGCAAATCTTGGCGCATGCTTAGTGACCGTCCAGCGCAGCCTAAGTGGAGCAATAGATCTGGTGCGTCCAGAATCTGAACGCCAAACTTCCTTACATAATTCGCCATAACGACAAGCTATACGTCCACGCGTTCCCAAAGGATTCACGGAATTCAATTCATATAAGTGTAAATCTCGGCGGAAGTATTGAGTAAGAGGTTTGGTGTTAAATATCTAAAAGAATATAAGTTCATTACACGTTTGAAATTATTTCGCAATTTTCATTTAAAGACAAAAAAATGATGTTAAGGTAATACTTACCGCTTGCAAAGCGGCGTTCATGAAGCAAGTATTTCCCAAATTGTGCAGACCAGTAGCACCAGGCGGATGTTCTACTTTGCCCATTGCATGATAACCGGATCGTGAACCTTGATTATTACCACTTGCAGAGGAAGAACGTTGAGCCATGGCCAGAGCACCCAATTCTTCTGGCCATGTTAAATCTTTATTACGAATTTCAATCAATATTTGATCATCATCACAAATCTGTAAAGCCTAGTTTAAAAATAAAATAAAAATTGTTATGAACAAATCTGAAAGTTCAAATATATTTTTATATATATACTTAATATATATAGTACTATTGAAAATAAAATAGCATAAATAAACAATTTAAATCATATATCTAGTATCTAGTAAATCTTACTTCTAATGTTAGCTGTTCATCTTCCAATAAACATGGAACCTCTACACCTCCGGTGTTTCCAAGAATATGCCATAACCGCACACAATCAACTCGCAATTGCAGTCTCTTACAAAGGAACTCGCAGACCTATTTTAAAGTTTTGATAAATATATCTCCATAACACTAGACATAATTTGAAAACGACGTTCTTGCATGTTGCTAATGCAATTAAAGTTATTATATAAAAGATTTCTTTTATTCAAATTTGTATTTTAATTGAAAAGATTCTTTATATTTAATGATATATCTATAACATATTCTTTAGGTTTCTACATAGAAAATCTACAAAATTTTATAAATAAGTCTTCTCTCATATTTAATACCATTGGTATAAGTTTGTCATCCATTATATTTAATTTAAGGATTATTTATTTATTACCTGTTTGATTGTGGCAAGTCTACTAAATGCTGCAGTATAAGCTAAATAACGCTTCGGGGGCTGAGGTACCAAGTTAGAACTATTCATAGCGTTTTGAGCATTAACATAGCCTCCACTAAGTGCCCCATAACCACCAATAAGTCCACCCCAGGACTGAACAGATGGAACTGCAAATCCTTGTTGACATTGATGGCGCAAAATGCGTAAATTTAATGGATAGAGTTCCAATTCTACATGAGATGAGTCTAGTGGTTGAATAACCTATTATGGGAATAATAAATACATGGATATAATTAAATTAAATCTACAAAAAAATCAATATTTTACTTTAATTAAAGGGTTTAAACTATATAATATCATCATACTTGTCTAGGTAAAGGCATTGGCCCACGATGCCATAATGCCAAAGCCTTCCAAAGTGAATCAGGAACAAGCTCAAAATCTCTATGCTGAGATAAGGTTGTATCTCTTTTCAATCTGCCTCCTTCACCAGTGAGTGTTTGAACCTGAAATAGAAAAAAGAATTATCAAATTGAAGACTAGAGATATTACGTAGATTAAACTTTCTATGTACCTTGTGTAATACTGGAGCAATCAAACTAGAATTATCGATTGGACCTGGAGGTCCACGTTTCTTACGAGTATTTGTACTTGAAGTTGAAGACCCATTTATTGTTCCACAAGTGCTGCTTGATATGCCACTACTACCACTTGCTAAACTGGTATTATCTGTACATATATCACCCATTGATTCTAGAAAAAAAATTAAATTTTTAACATAAACTTAAAGTAAAGTATATTTACTAAATTTTTATATTCTAATATACCTGTAGAATTTGAGGTAAAACTTTCATCACAAATTACAGCTTCGTCTACAGATAATGGATAAATTATACGTGATCCTGAACTCCGACAATGACACTGGCCACCAGTGTAGGATGTCCAATGTGACCACCACTCTGATGATATTAAATACCAAAATTGTCCGACTTCGTAACCACGACTTACTTCCCTTTGCAACCAGCCAGATACTAAACGCAAAGTATATATATAGTATGAAGTACAAATTACTATTGTAAGACATGTTTCAAAGTTGCAAAAATGGTTTTAAAAGATTATATTTCTAGTAGTCTTATACATATTGAAATTTGTATCATGATATATTACCTATCTCATGTTCCTGGTGGCAGCATTGAGGTCTTAATCCTAGGACTATGTGGCATACCTCAAACAGCAAATGTAAAAATGGCTGTACAAGATTAGAAGTGGTTTCAACAGACCACATTAAAAAATGCTCCTGAGATAAGAAAAAAGTTTCTTTTATATTATTGCACTCATTATCATTATTGCTCATTGTATCATTGCTTTGTTCGTTATTTATTTGATTCATAGTATCACAATAGTTAGACATTGTACTTTTATAGCTTTTAACACTGGCTTTAATTTCCTCAAATGCGACGCAAACACTTTTCTTTGAATCCATTTGATCAGAACGGCTATTGTTTGCTACATCAACTAAAACTTCAAGCATGTCCCTTAATTCTACTTCACTCAGAAAGCCATCTCTGTCAGTGTCAAATATCTTAAAGCAAACTAAAACCATATTTAAATAAGTATACTTTCATTATCGAGTTGTATTTGTTTTAAATACTACTCACATTTTGTTCTTTCCACACTTGGACCTCTACAAGCTGCACTTACTCCACAACACAATTCTTTAAAATCAATATGACCATCTCGATTTTCATCAAATGCCAAAACTAAGCCAGGTACAGCCTTTTTTAAAATGGGAAGATTAATTAGTGGCAGCAAAACCTCAAGGTCTAGTTGTCCCGAAGAGGAAGAATTTTTTAAACCCCAGAAAGCTTTCTCTAGTTCACATATATCCTAAAAATAAATAGATTAATAATGAAGCTGAATAAAACTTGAGGTCTGGAATACTTAAATTACTCAAAGAGTTACCTGTTCTTCTAAATGCGTAACACCAGCTAAACTTTGATAGAATGTTGGAGTTTCTACTTCAGAACTCAGACTGACGCAACATTCTATAAGAAGCCACTTTGAAAGAACAGTAGCATTTCGATGAATATCAATCCAATTTCTGAACTGCTCTTGTGTTGCACGATCATTTCCGTTATTGAACAATTGATTAAATTCAAACAATGAAAATGAATCAAGGAATGGTGTTATGTGCTGATGTGAAAATTCAGCTTGAATACTTTTCAAAAAATCTTGCTTTAAAATGTATGTTCCTGCTTCATTGCAATATAATGACCATAAAAATCTAAAACATATTGATAATAATAACACAACTTAATTTTTACACTACATATCTAAATATTACATACCTTATTCTCTCTTCAAGTGTTCCTTTTGTTAATAATACTAGTCCACAAAGCAATTCCTTAAATGCAATACCTCTCGAACCTCCTCCACAAGCTGAGAATAAAACTTCTGCAACTGCTTGCGGGCAGCCCTCACCAAGTACATATTGGATGAAAGCTTGTCGACTCAAATATGTTGGACCTATAGAACAAAATATGAAATAAATATAAACCAAATTATTTAAGTTAATATTAAAATTGTTAGTAAGTATACCTGCTGCATTTGTATTTAAACCGGATGAATTGTACGTACAGCGCTTAAATGCATCTCGAATCCTGTGATGCTCTGCATCAGTTACTGGAAAAATGATTAATAAAATGGCTTAAATTTTGTATATATATATATGAAATAGATAAATTATTCAATTTAATAAAAAGTGATGTATTGAATTTTTGTGCAACTATAAAAATTAGGTTAGGAAATTCAGTTTTCCAAATCTATACATACTTCTTCTCACAGCATCCTCATAGCTAATGCAACTAGGTTTAGAGTCTTTTGCACCCATTTTCGTTTTAACTTACATAATAAAGTTTACAAATATTCACTTTTACATTAACTTGTGTTATCATCATATGACAAATTGTCAAATTCCATCTCAATTCATGTTTATATTATTTACAACAAGCTTAATAATTCATTATCAAATGAATTGTTTCATTTCTTCACTAAATCTACGTAAAAACTTGAATAAAAGATAAAGACCTTTCAGCTTCAATCATTTTTAAGTAAAAATCAACTTATTGAATTAATCATTATCATGATGGAATAAACATAAACACAAGTTGTGAATGAAATGTCATTCACTTAAGAATGATAATGACAACTAATTTTTTAACACTAAATGGAAATAATTTACGTTTTAATATTTACGACAGCAACTACAAATGTCAACAAAATTTAATTTTTGATAGGCTAATACAGATTAAAACTGATTACCAAAGAAGATGTATGTATGTTATGCATACACAAATTTAATAGTAAGGGACCAGATGGACAACTTACTCACACCTTTTTATAATAAAATTATTAATATTATAAAAGCAAAGGTATAATCCTTATCTATGAGTATAATTATATTCTTTGGTATTTCTGATGTTACTAAACCATAATGTCTTTTGAAACTTTTTATGAAAAATATTTAAAATGAAAATAAATGTATTATATGAATTCTGTGTCCATTATATGATAAAATGCAAATGTGAATTTTTATAATCACAAATATAAACAACTAAAGCACTATGTATTTTATAATAATATATAGTATAATTTGATTTTTAAAAATTTTAAATATTTTGGTTTAAAATTTCAAAAAATCATAAATAATTATATAGCTATACATAAACACACACACACACACACACATATATATATATATATATTTATATACATGTAAGTTATATTTACATCTATTCGTAATTGCCTTAAAAATGATGACAAAAAATTAGAAAGTATTATGTACGTTGTATTATAATTATCGAGCAAATTTTCTACCAGCTATTCAACTATGATATGACTAGCAAACTTGACTAGAAAATACATTCAAAGCATATCATATTTATATACATAATTGTATTTGAACAAATATAGATGCATATTATAATTGATGCTTCTGTCCCATTTTGTCAACCAATAATAATCATTATTGTCATAAAAGAGATTGTTTTCAATTATTGCAAAATAATGGTACACTTTTATAAATTGCTAAATAATCAATATAAATAATATTGCACTCAATTAAAAATTGAGCTATGATACTGAAATAATTCTAATATTTTAAATTCATAAAAGTTCATATACAAGAAAGATGTTAAAATGTAATAAAATCTTTGTTTAATTATAAACAAAACAAATTTATATATAACACCTTTGCTGATATATTTAACATTTTATTAGTTCTATAAAAATTGTTATATAAAATTTTCTATATCACAATTATTTATGTTTATTTTTCTTCGATTGTATTCTTTGATATATAACACAAGAATCTTCACTTAATTTATAAGCTGGGGAGTCTTTTTTATCCCAAGATAAAGGACTGATATTATCCCAAGAAATAGTATCCATGCATATATTTAACTTTGAAAGAAGTTTTTGAGAAAGCACTGGTATTATTGGCCAAAGAATTATTCCACAAACTCTTAATGTCTCTAATACTAGATGCAAAACAACATCTAATTGATCTTGATTATTAAGCTTTTTTAATTCCCATGGTTTTTGATGTTCAAAAAATGCATTTGCTAAATGTATAGTTGATATCGTCGCATCTACAACTTTGTAGTAATTATGATCTAAATAATGTTCTTTGGCAATGTCTAGAATAAACATAAAGAACTTTTTAAGTTACGTTGTGTAAGTTGATTATTGTGATATAAAATACCTGGAAGGTTTTCCACTGATTTAGTTAATTTTTCAGCTAGTTCATTATTTTTTACAATATTTTCAAAAACATCTCTGTGCAATGTTGGAAATTGTTGATCAGGATTTAATACTTTTCCACAGCATCTACTTAATAAATTTCCAAAACTATCTGCTAGTTCTGAGTTTAAGATATTTTTTATTTTTGTATCACTATAGTCTAAAAATTCATTTACAGTATTAAAGTGAAATATTTGATAAATATTAACTGATACTGAAATTTAACATACTTCCATCACTATGCGCTACACCTTCTCTGAGAAGAAAATACCGAATACCTTCAGCACCATATTGATCTATACAAGAATTTGGAGAAATGACATTATTTTTAGATTTAGACATTTTATCCCCATCCACAGTCCAATGTGCATGACATAATATTGATTTTGGAGGTTCTAATCCAGCAGCAATCAAAAATGCAGGCCAATATATGGCATGGAATCTAATAATTATGCATATTGAATATTATTATTCATGATTTCCAAGTAGTTACTGAACATATTCTGTTAATGTTTTTGAATGAATGCAAAGTAAATGTTACTTAATATAAGAAATTTAACTAAAAATGTTTACCATATTATATATAATGAATTATTTCGTACTTCAAAATATCTTTTCCAATAACATGTAAATCTGGAGGCCAGCAAGATCTGAATTGCTGTCCGTCAGTATCAGGATATCCAGATGCTGTTAAATAATTCACTAAAGCATCTAACCAGACATAAATGGTTTGAGTTGGATCACCAGGGACTGGTATACCCCAATACACTCTATTTGTTGGTCGAGATACAGATATATCTCTTAGCAATTCTGAACCATTTATCCAGTCATAAACCATTTTGTGGTACTTCTTCGGCCTTATAACATTTTCTAATTAAGTACAAATAGTTGAAAAATATTTATGATTTTATAATATATCATTTTATGATTTGTTCTTCAATTTATTTAGACAAAATGTATAAATTAATTGAAATTATTTCGTATAATACTCATATATGTATTAGATACACACAGTTCATCTAAAATATTTGTGTATTACTTCTCACTTACCATTTTTTAACCAATAATTTAAATCATCATAAAAATTGCTTAACTTGAACATATAATTTTTTTCTTCGGTCCATTCTACAGGATGGCCTGATTCAACAGAAACTTTTATATCTTTTCCTGGCACTTGAATTAGCTGAGATTCTGTTAAAAAAGTTTCATCTGGAACACAATACCATCCACTATAATTTGTTGAAAAAATGTGCCCTCTATCACTTAAACGTGTCTGCAATAATATTTTGATTAAAAACCTTGGTCATTGTGCAATTTTATTATTTTATCCACACCCAAAATTTCTCAACAGCTAGCTTGTGTTTTTCATCTGTAGTTCGAATAAAATCTGAATAATGAACACCGAAATCTTTGAACATAGAATCATATTCTTTAGATATATTGTCACAATAGTTTGCAATTGGCAATTTAGCTTTTTGAGCCGATTGTTGAATTTTTAAACCATGTTCATCGGTGCCTGTAGAAAATATATTGTTTTTACCTGACAATAATCTTTCAAATTTACTTGCTGCATCACATATTAAAGCTGTATACAAATGCCCTATATGCGGTGCTGAAAAATGAAACTTTTGTATTGAATTATGTCACATTTTAAGATTGATCTTTACACCTTTAGCTTACAAGCATTTACATAAAATATAGGGCTAGTGAGAAAAAATGTCTTTGATCCAGCAGATGCAGAAGAGTACATATTTATGAAAGTTCGAAATGCATTTTTATTTTGTAATAGCATTTTATCGGTATGAATTCATAGGTTATATTTTTAGTTTAGGTTATATTTTCAGTTAGAACAGAAGAACATGAAGTGCTGTCAAAATTCAAAGTTAGCCAACATAAAAATATTTTTGTTAACGGTGAAATGATTTAAATGACTGTTCACCAAATATCTGAAATGCAAAATAATAATAATTAAAGATCTTATTATGATCCCTTAAATTTGTTGGCCTATTTTTTATTTGACATCAAATAAAAACATGATGAAGCGTCATATATTCATTTATTTATTGTTTATGGTTGCATTATTATAACCTTTTATATTTCATGCTAAAGTTACATGCTTTATGAAATATGGCCCTTTCAATTTTATTAAAATATTATTTGAATACTTACCGATTGCTTCATACAACTAATAGGTTATTTCAAGGCTCCTCAGTTATCATGGCATACACTTTGCGAGAACCTAGGAGTCTAAATGAAAAAATGGGCAAACCATTAGTGATTTTGCATGGAATGATGGGTTCTAAGCAAAATTGGAATTCTATATCTCTCATGTTGAAGAACGGTTTAGATCATTCCAGAGAGGTAAATTTGGGTAATACATATTCAAGTATTAATCACTACAATAATCACAATTCGTGAATTCTTAGTCAATTATTTTATTTTTCTATCCTAATACCAATCTTGCTTATCACAGATATACATGATGGACATTCGAAATCATGGAGAATCACCCAATGTTCCGGAGCATAATCAAGAATTAATGATACAAGATTGTCTTCATACTTTTAAGCATTTAAAACTAGAAAAACCGATAGTTCTTGGCCATAGTATGGGCGGTCGCATTATGATGCTTTTAGCTCTAAAACATGTAAGAATCCTCATAAATTATTATTTATTATTAATTTACTAATCGTTTTCCTACAATTGTGCCCTGAATTTCAATAAGTCGATAATAGTGTTTACTTAATTACCTCAAGATTGTGTAAAATTACAAATTCAAATATACAAAATATAAAATCTCAATATTTTTCTCTGTAGGAATCAATAATATCTGGTTTAATTGTGGTAGAGATGTCTTATCACTCATATTCGGACACTCAAGAGCTCATGATCGAACTTGCTAATTTTATGAGGCAAATAACATTTGAAGATGTGAATAATTCTCTTCCTCAAGCCAGAGCAAAAGCACATAAAATACTTGCACAGAAAGTCAAAAGCAAATTTATGAGAAATTTTTTGGTGCAAAATATTTATAAAGATAAAGATGGGTTTGTTTATTTTACTTTGTATTAAACTGATATATTAAAAACAATATTGCTATATTGTATTATTACTTGGGGGTAGTAATTTTTATGTACTAATTTATGTATAATGTTGCAGAAAAATTAAATGGAGACTTAATCTGGAAGTTTTAGGAAAAGCAAAACCTCAAGGCTTTCCTGAATATGCATTCAAACTAAAATATCCAGGTCCTTGCATCTTTTTAGGAGGAAATGAATCACATTTTGTTCAGTAAGTCAAGAAATGAATTATCATTCATAATTGATACCACTCATACTTATTAAATTACATAACTCATAATAATTAAGTTAATTTGAATAGGAAAGACGATCTTATTGTTCTAAGAAAAATGTTTCCTCAGGCTGAATTATATATTTTAGAAGGTGGTGGTCATTTGTTGCATGTAGATAGACCTAGAGAATTTGTTGCCATTGTTACAAATTTTCTTAATAAAATGATAAAGCAAAATATTTGAAAATAAACGTAGAAAATGGATAAGAACAAAATGTACATATATATATGTATATATTTACTTATTTTTTTCATACAAATATATTAATCTTGCATAATAATTCATAAATATTTACACAAATTAACATTATTTAAATACATTTCAATCTAGAACTTACTCTACACAGGTAACTATTTCTCATCATTGATTTGAAGTGAATTAATATCACACAATTGTTCACTAATAATCTCCATTTCACTAATATCATAATTATCAGTTGCTGTTTGAAAAGATAAAATAAAAACTAGCACGGATAGCAATGTAAACCCAATTATTATATGTTCACTTTTATCCGCATTGCTTCTCATTTCTTCATATCTCTTAATTCTATCCATCTGTTCTTTGCTCTAAACAGAATAAATTATTATAAAAAATATCCTAGAAACACAAATTTAATTCCAAATTCAAGTTTTTTCAAAATATATATAATAGCCATATAAGTAAAATTAGCATTTCCAAAAGCATTTAACTTAATGTTTCACTCAAAATTGAATTTGGTAACATGTAAATAAATTATTAAGACCTACCTTCAATTTTTTGTTAAAATTATGAGCATAATGACTTTTAGACCATTCATCAAAATTATATATGGGCGTCCGACCTGTTGGGGGAGGTGGTTTAGCACGATTCGCATGTTGTTTATAGAACTTTGTCTGAGCATCATCTTCTGACTCTGGTCCATCAGGACCAGGGTGATGGCGTAACATACCTTTAAATATTCAATATACCTCTTAGACTTAAAATTGGTAACAGTAATATAATGCATATTATTTTAGAAGATAAATTATTAAAATGAAGCAATTATACATATAAATATACCTTTATCATATAATTTTCTAAGTTTAATATTTCCTAAAACTTCATAAGCAGCTGTTATATCCCTGAATTTCTGGGCAGCCTCATCGCCTCCACTATTTTTATCGGGATGGTATAACATAGACAACTTATAATAGGCCCCTTTTATCTCACTCTGTGTAGCCCTTCTCGTAACTCCCAGAGAATCATAATGATTCACAGGTTTGTTCAAAAGCCGTGTAAACAAATGTATTGTTCTTATTTGATTGTAGTACAAATTTTTTGAGCTGAGCATATTACTTAATATTTAAAACTTGTGACACATCTTATATTGTGGAGAAACTATAATTATATTAGTTGCACTATAATGTTGTTGATATTTTAAATATGAGTGAAACAAATACAAATTATAACAGAAAAATTAACGAAGGAAAGAATTATGACCGTAACACTGACATTGACGGTTCTTTCTAACCTCAAAAATTTATGTAATTTGTGGAAAATTTTTGGCAGATATAAAGCATTTTAGAAAAGACGAAAAAATCTATGATTCCACTTAATGCCATTATACGCTGAAACATGTGATTATCATACCAATCATTTATCTACATATATATATATATATATATATATATATATATATATATATAGATTAAGACATATCACCGAAACTATTTGAAAAAAAAAATCAAGATCCATTACAAAAACGTCTAAATTAAGTTACACTTTTATTTTAAAATAATTAAAACGACCTTAATCTATTCACATTAAATTTCCATATTTTTTGCTGTGGTGGTCTACTACTTTATAAGCCGGTGATTTCCTTATTCTCGCTCCTCTTACAGATGCACCATACAGAATTAATGAAGGCATTCTTACTATAGCACCTCGACCAGCTAATGTATAATGTCTAAAAGATGCCTTTTGATCAGGAAATGGTGTGACTGATATCCATCCCGCAGATGATAACAAAAAATCTAAATTTGAACAGATTAATTATTTAAAATGCTTATTTTTAATGTATTTCTAATTAAAAAAATATTTGAACCTGCAACAGCCTTTTCTCCAGATTCTCCTACAACATTAATGACTTCATCACTTGCTTTTAAACCTGGCCAGTGCTCTAACCTTTTATCTGAACCGTGAGGTATCCCAAGCACAGGCGTTCCTAAAAAACATTTGTATATTTCATCAACATCCTCTGTTCTGCATATTAAAACTGGTAAGGATTCAGAAGCATAGACTGAGAGCCTGAAATAATGTGTTACAATCAAAATATAATTATTCAATTGGATGAATGATAATAAAAATAAAAAACTGTTGATTATAAGATTATGTGAATTGTTAATCATAAGATTACCTTATCGGTGCATTGCCTTCTACATAGTCAAGACGACCCAATCCTGCTAATAATACTGAATAATTCGGCTGAATACAATAATTTCTAATTCTTATAGTTTTCTTTGGTAATGTCATTAGTATTTCATCAGTAGTTAATAAATCTAAAATCTATATAGAGATCAACATCAGATGAGTAAAATGAACATAAAAAAATACAAAAATATTGATTTTCATACCTGATTATCATGCATAACACCAGGTGTATCATAACACCATTTAGTCTCTCTAAATTCTCGATTCCTTTCATTAATTCCTTAAAATAATTCCCTATAATTATAAAAATGATAATCTTACAGTAAATTCTAATGATTTACCTGTGGTTTCTCTTGCATTGCAAGATTGTCTAACTGAAAACATATCTTTACTTTCTTCATTCGCTAAGTTAACTCGAAATGTTTGACCTATATGTCCAATAAGTGTGACTGGATTTTTAACTCTTCCTTGTGTCATTTGAAGTTTTCTTAATTCTTTTTCAGCTTTCAGTTCCTGGCTTTCTTTTTTAAGTCTCTCATTTCTAATATACATTCTCATACCAGAAGGCCGAAGTATTGGAAACCGGAGCATGTTTAATGTGGTGCCTTGATGTTAATAAATAGCATTAAAATAGAACTTCTCAAATCAAGCATGATAAATTTACCTGGCCAAGGACTAGCAGTAGCGCGTTGTATCAAATCTGTTGCTTGAAACTAGAAAAACAGAAAAAGAATTGAAAATTTAATGGATATTTACATAAAAACTAAACCCAGAACTCTTTAACACCTTACAAAAGTCACTTCCTAAAAGAGCATTAAAAATTGTGCTTTTTCCAACATTAGTACATCCAATGATGTATACATCTCCTTTGGTACCCCATTTTTGATGAAGTGTTGTAATCAAGTTCTCAATGCCATAACCTGTAGTAGCTGATACTAAAGTAATATGTTTAATATATTTTTCATCAAAACCTAAAAAAGCACAATTTTAATACATAAACAAATGATATATTTCTGGCTTAATAATATTATTTATACCAATTTTTATTACAGCCTCCTTCAAACAATCTTCAATTCGTCTTAGATATCCACTTGAATCTTTGGGAATCAGATCTACTTTATTTCCTACAATAAATATAGGTCTATTCTTGCCAATCAAATCTGATAAGCCAGGCCATATGCAGCCTGGAAAATCTAAAAGATCAACCAATAATACTATAAGTCCAAATTTATCCTTCAATGAACTTAAAAGAGTATTGTAGTAATCTGGTTCTACTGTAAGATTTAATGCAATATTGTAGTTTTTAAGAAAATGGCATCGCTGACACGTAACTCCCTAATAAGAAATATATAATAAAAAAAAATGTTTGTGATAGCACCGTTCACTAACAAGACCATTTGTATAATTTGCTGAATATATAAAATACCTTCAGATCATCTTCACTTTTTCCTTTGTATAGTTCACTAGGCAAATAACCAGGCATTCCTGTTGAAACACAATTTAATAATGCACCGCAGCCACCACAAGGAGGCCCTACTCTTGTATAATTCGCATCTGTAATAAAAATTAGATTTTATGGAGATTTTCAACCCATTCTCCTAGCAAATATAATGCTGTAAGCATTTCAACAATAATGTTGAATAGAATAAAGAAATTTACCTGGAGTACCATAGTTTTTTATATCATCTGCACCTTCCTCTTCAAGATCATGGGCATATGTTTTATAGTCTGTCATCCAATTATGATTAATTTTCTCAAATATTTTATATTCATCTTTTTTTTCTCTGGTATCGTCAATGTCAGATTCATTTTCACTGTTTATGGAGGTTTTTTCTTTTAGTAAATTATTAGAAATATTAGCATATGGTAAATACACATTTTCTGTTTTCAATTTTTCATTTTGATCATCATCAGGTTGCTCATTGTCAATAGATAAATCTGGATTTAAGTATTTTAATGATATTGGAAATGGACGAATGTTATCTTTTTCTTTATTTTTCATGGCATCTAATTTTAACTCTAAAGCTCTATTTTTTCTAAAGCCGAATTTCATAGTTCGACTCTCTACATAAGAGCTAAATAAAATCTTTTCGCTATAATTTTCAATTAATTTGTCTATATGTTGCTCCTTAGAAAGTTTTCGAGGATCTTTGCTCGAGAACCGCCTTATAACTTGTCCTATATCGAATAATCGTGGTTTCATCATTGTAAAGATTATAATTTAAATCTTGAATTATAACATATCTTTATATTGTCTAGAAATTATAACATTTTCAGAACTTTTTATTTATGATTGTATCACTAACCTAAAAATTGCACAAGATGCTGGTGTTGCCATAGATGTCTGAAATTACAGGGTTACCACACTAGTAATAAATATCTTTATTACTTAATAAAAAATAACCGTTAGATTAAAGATATTTAAATATAAAGTCGACAATATAATTTTAAATTTTTAATGTAAAGTAATACTAATTTGAATAAAAAGAATAAACTTTATTCAATTATAAATTCATCAAAATTTTGTTTGATGATAATTTTTCAGGTAACTTAGGTTAAGTTACTTATAAATTAATTCTTAAGGGCAGCATACAGAGTTACTTATAAGTTAAATAGAGTAATAAGGTATAAGTTACCCAAAAGTTAAGTTAGAATTTAAATGTGAAATAATACTAATTTGTATAGAAAGAATAAACTTTATTCAATTATAACTTAAGTTAAGTTAATTATAAGTTAATTAGTAAGGGCAAGCATAATTGGGTTACTTATAAGTTAAAACAGAGTAATAAGGTATAAGATACTCATAAGTTAATTGATTTTATATTAATAAAAATTGGAAAACATAAATTAGCTTATAAATTATTATTTTTATATAAAACTGATGTAATGCATAAATAAATATTTATTGAATTTGTGAAACATAAAAGTATGTAGAAGTTATAGAATTTATAACAGAGCTAGTGAATAGTCTTTTGCAATCATTTATTTTTATAATAAGAAGTGATTATTAGGCATTAAGAAAATTAATGCAAACAATTTAGCAAAAGCTATTGATCTATTTATAAAAAGCGCCCAACTTGGATATTTTGTAAGTATTCTGTCTTTCTATATTATAAAGTCAAACAATTTATAAAAGTGGTTATGCAATATTCGTAGTAAAGTATCTAATTAAAAGTATCAAAGTAATTATTTTGCAATATCTACTAACACATTGAAAAAAAATTAACTCATAGATAAGTTTTTTGGATATATTCCATCTTCTCTATAACATAAAACCAAACAATATATAAAAGCTACTATGTATTATGCAATTAAGAAAAAACGCCACAAATGGATAAATTTTTTTACTGCGTTCCATCTTCTCTATATTATAAAACCAAACAATTTATAAACATTATTATGCCATTTTTGTAGTAAAATAACTGCTAAATACATTACGATAATAAAATTGTAAAACGTTTTAGCAAAACAATACGTGTTAAATACGATAGAAAACTCTTTAAATCGATCATAAAACGTCTGATAAACAGACGAACATAAGGTTGGCATGTTAGTAGAATTAACTTCGATCTGTCTCTATCTTGCCAAAAACCTGTATACATACATTATATATAAACTACTATTAATACTATTGTAGTAGCTATAAAAATAATTATTCTTCGATTTAGTTTTCATCTAAAAATAATATTAATCTTAATTCTTCGCGTTCTAATCAGTTTTAACATCATCCAAAAACAGCTTTTTCTCATTAACTTTTTAAATAATAATCAGAATATCAAGTATTATTTAAACTATTGGGATGCAATAAAATATTTATCTATAAAACTATAAGAGTTGTCTCTTAATATGTACATAATCACAAACATAAAACAAGTATAAAAGGATAAAGAAGAATAAAAGAAGGTCGAAAGAAGTGTACAAGAGATAAAAGAAGGTTAAAAGAAAAATAAAAAGTATAAAAGGATAAAGAAGGATAAAGAAGAATAAAAGAAGGTTAAAAGAAGCATAAAAAGAACGAATAAGAATAAAAAAGAATGAAGAGGAATAAAAGAAAGACAAAGAAGGGTTAAAGAAGGTTAAAAGGATAAAGAAGGATAAAGAAGAATACAAGAAGAGTAAAAGAAGATTAAAAGAAGCATAAAAAGGACGAATAAGAATAAAGAAGAATAAAGAGGAATAAAAGAAAGACAAAGAAGGGTAAAAGAAGGTTAAATAATAAATACAAATATAAATTTATTTTCATTAATTAGATTGTAAGTATTTTCTAAAAATATTAAATTAATAATACTTTTTTACATATCTCTACTTATTTCACTTAGAGAGAAATAATTACACCAGAGTCTGTAGCTTGTATAATATATAATTATACCATAAGGATCACATGCCAATGACGTGATGTTATGATTCATGTATGAGTATAAATATACAAACTCATTTCCATGTTTAGCAAATTTGAATAACAATTAAACGCTCACACTTTTTAATTCCTGATACTGAATGAGTATAATGTACATGTGGTTATAAATAGAAGCATTCAATGTGTTGGAGTATATTTTTTCATATATTTATACAGATGCCAAATGCAAATATGAGTATAGAACGACACAAGCACGCAGTACAGATTTGTTTTAAGTACGCAGCAATATCTCAAGAATCGGTCTTAAATATGAGGAAACTGTTTAATTATTTATTTTATTAAAATCCCGAAGAAGTTTATTTTTGCCAGAAAATTTGATTTGCTAAATTCATGTTTTCTCGACGGATGAAGTCATTCTGAATCGCCTGATATCAAAAATTGGAATATGCATGTGTGTGTATATGTGATCTAAAATTTGACCTTTTCCCAAAAACGTCGTTAGTTTTGCGTGAGGATCCACCAAGCGGTTTTTTACAGTTAAGAGAGAAGTGTAAAAAAATTCTACAATTTCTCAAAAAAATCGAGCCCATTTTTGATTCAAAAATGGCTGCACCGATTTTTAAAATTTAAAAGTCATTCGATGTAACTCGGCAAGGACTAGCGTTTAAAAGTTTGCGCGACAATCGGTCGAGCCGTTTCTTTGTAATTGACAAAAAAGTGTAAAATTCTACGTTCACGTTTTAGCCACAAAAAGGAGATATCTCTGTTTGAAAGATCTTAGTTGAAAAATGCGTTGATTAGCATTTGGTAAAGATCAGCCGAGCCGTTTCATTGTAGTTAAATGTTGAAAACATTTTTTTAAATCTTTTTGATGAAACTTATATAATATAATAAACCAAAAATCAGAAAAAAAATTAATTAATTAATACAATTACATATATTAGAAGTATGTTTAAATTACATCAATTGGAAATCGTATCGATTATTTTGTAGTGAAAGCAAAATGTTATTTTCCGAATAAACAGTTGAATAATATACCTAGTTAAAGGCAAGATCTTAATAGCTGATTCTGAATTCTAATTGATTACGTTAATTATGTATACATATCGGGAACATAATGCAACTTGCCTTAAGGCAAAATTTTACTAACAACTAGTTAATCAAAATATCTAGTTAACTTCACGTAGGGTAAGTTATAGTAATCGTAAAAAAATCGAAAATTAAAATTTTCATATATCTTTACGTTTCAAAATCTTCTGAACATTTTGGCATACCTTAGAAAAAATGGATGTATGTGTGTGTGTGTATGTGCGTGTATGTGTGTGTGTTCGAATACAAATTTTCGTCGACGATTTCGGAAACACGGACGAAGCGATTTGAATAATTCAAAAAACATTCGATTCGTATTGATAAGGAGACGTGCTGATTAGTTTTTGGCATTGGCAGGTCTAGCCGTTCCGAACGGTAACTCAGTTTTTAAGAGAATGGAGCGTCCGATTTGAATAATTCAAAAAAACATTTTACTTGTATTAACAATATGAAGAACTGATCAAATTTTCATGAAGGCAAGTCTAGCAGTTTCGGAGATCTAGTAAAAAAAATGCCATTTGACGGTCAAAAATGATCATTAGACATATGCACATCAAATTATCAGATATTTTATAGAGATTTTAACAATAAGTATAAATTTTGTTTACATTCCAATGGGTTCCGTACCAATGTTTACGCTTACGCGCTTCGATATTTCGTCTTTATGCAGTTAAAGCAGTACGATTGCTTTGAAAAAAAGTTCAGAATTTCCAAAATATTTCAAAATAAATGATTTAAGATAGAATGATTTAATATGGTTCGAAATTCTATTAAAAATTTCAAATCATTGATCAACTTTTATTGATTATTTTTAATCACTCGAATTTTAAATTGCGGTACGGGAAGTTCCAGCAATTTGCCTTAAGGCACGATGCCTTAATTGCCTTAATACAGAATTCCACTTACAGCTAGTTTCAAAATAAATCTATTATTTCCCTCCTATCGATTCCGCCCGTCCGTTTCCTCCAGAAGTCTTCCCAGCACTACACATGTACTATTGTCACAATGCGGATAGTTGGCAACTTGTTGCGCGCGCCGCCGTATAGCAGTGTTGTCTGCAGGACGGGGGTTTTGAATTTTGAAAATGACGCAGGGCTGCGTAGCAGGCTCTAGGGGTAGTTCTCGAAGGGATGGGGAGATTATTGCGGGTATGTTCGTCCCCGTATTGCGCCCAGTGCCTTGCGCAGGTATGTCAAGGCCGCATTATTAGTTGTTGTCAGAGGTACTGTAAAACGTGCCTCGGATGGAGGGAGGATGGAGGATGGAGTTGATATACATTTTTGAAAGAAATGTTATTAATGAATTTATTTGCGTACAAATGGAAAATAATAACAAGCAAGACGCAGTATGTCTGATCGAAGAAAGCAACAAATTAAATTTCGTTCAGGATCAAAATTTTCATGGGTTAAGAGGAATGCCCATTGTGAATTTTGTTTTCAATTATGAATTTTTTATCAAATTAAATTTTGACCATAAATGAAATATAATTTGAATTTTTTGTGTCTGCAAATTATCACTTTTATGATTTGTCATAAATATTGAAACTTGCTAATTATAATTTTCCAGTAAATTCTGGCTTCAATAGTAAAAATATCTCATTTTTTTGTGATTACGTAGATACTGATGACCTATGAGAAATTATGTCATATCTACATGGCATACATATCTTACATACAAGTAAATTGAATTCAAAACTTACTAGAAAATTATAATTACCAATTCTAAAAGTAATGGTGATCATCAAGGACGACAACAAATTAGATTTGTTTATTTCATTTTTAGATATGACTTATAGGTCATCAA